GATACATCACTCAAACTCAATCTTACCATAAATGGGGAAATGTTATCTAGGTTACACACAGTAGTAGATCTAGGACTTAGATACTCCGACGACTTGTCGTTTACTGAACAGATAATGAAACAAACGTCCAAGTCTCAACGCCTTATAGGTTTCATAACAGCGAATCTCGTATTCTAATGTACAAAGTCTGTGTTCGACCACTCCTCGAATACTGCGCGTTTCTCCTTATTAGCACGCGCATAAAGGATAAATTAAGACTGGAATCAGTACAGAGACGATTTATATTTCGTACTCTTGGAACTGATAGTGTTTTGACATATAATTCGAGGTGTAGTAAACTAGGGCTTGACCCTTTATGGATGAGGAGACTCAAACTTAACCTTATCTTCTTTTTCAAAATACTTAACAAACTCTCCTCCACATCCAGTCAGGAGATTCAATATGCTAAAGCCCCACATTACGACATTCGTAACTCCTTGTCTTTAGCGAAACAAACATATTCTAGATCTTCTCTCTATATGAATTACTTTACCTGTAAGTTTTCTAGGCTCTGGAATAATTTACCCCAAACTATCCGTATGTTAAACTCTCTCCCATTGTTTGTTCGCTCAATTAATGCTTTTTGCTCCTCTGAAAATGCATTAAACGCTCTAGCGCCTGCAAGTGTATCTTACTCCACAAGTGAGATTATAGGAACTTTAAATGTTTAACCTCTTACTTGCTATCATTGTTTTGTTGTTCCGTGCTCTTTGCTTTAATCTTACTTTCTCTAGTTGTAGATAATTATCAAAATAACTCGTTCTGGCACTGGAAATAACCTTACAGAACAATGTTGATCAATCATCAGGCTATCCGCTTAATAAAAAAATGACAAGTTCCCTGGTGTTGCATTGGCTTGCCGTGACATATGCCATATTTAAACTATTTATCAATTACTAAACCAGCAAACATAAAACTTTCTTATATTTCATGTTTGTTCTGTACATTAAATGTTGATTTTTATAACAATCTGATCATGCCTGTAAACTGGTGTGAATTCTGTAAATATTATTTTCAGAATATATTATTATTATTATTATTATCCTCTATTGCCAAACATATAATCGAAACAGGTCATAAGATTGATCTTAACTCGGCTTTTGTTGTGTTGTTTTTCAAAAGTGTAAAAGAGGGGCGTATTCTGAGGTTTATTGAAGGCTTAGCCATACGAAAATTCAAACAATTGATTGGTCACATAGCAGTGCCCACTGTTATCTTTGTCCTAGTCCATAACACTGATCGAATTCGTCTGATAGATTTATCAACTGAGTCGTTTGCATAAATAACTATGTCTACATATCACAGTGAAATAAATACTTTGCAAACGAAATACTACCGCATTACAATCGACACGGGATGATTCGATCAGTGGAAGGTAACCTGAGCATCTCGAAACTAACTTCCCCAAATATCCAGTGCTATAAAAATGATAATACTAATAATAATAATTCGAATGGAATTGAAGAATCAAGCAATCTTTCTTTCAATGGAGAATATCTATAGTAAAGTGAGTCGAAATAATGAAAGACAAATGTACGAATGTATAGTTAGTTTGTGCATGATTTATTTGTGAATGTGAACGGTTTGTATGAAGGACTACAATTTGAGAGATTTGTGTATGACATCTACACACACTACTTACGAGTAAGTAGAAGTGAGTTGCACAATTCTCTTGGTGTATTTCACTGATTGATCTCTAACTAATCAGTTATTGATTGCTTAATGTATTCCCTACTCGTTCAACCATATGGATTGGTCAGTTTTCCATTTGTCTGAACTGACACTTTGCAGTTCGTGCTGTGTTAAACACCATGAATGTGAGGTGAACGATTGTTTTTTGCAGAACAATATATCTAAGGAGAAGTCATGACAGTTTGTGTCTGTTACCCACTCCTGATGCTCAACTTCCTCTGTGGTCTTGACAAGGTATTCAACAGAGCTTCCTAACTTGAGAATGCTATCATTATTGTTATTGTTATTACTACTGTTATTATTGACTATTCTGTTTCATTTATGTAAATTTTATAGGGAATGTTTAAACTGAAATCACCGGTAGAATACTTCCTGCTGTAATATACTACTATTAGGTCATATGATTAGGGTTGTGGAATTAGTGCAGCTCGTGTTGACACCGCTTTATCTCCAACATCAATAATGCTTCGACTTTTGTTGTAGGCAGCAGTAATCAACCTGAACATCATCACAGGGGAAGATATTTTCGAATATTCTGTTTTCTGGAGATTCTTGATAGATCTCACTGACTATTTCTATCAGTTATTTTGAACACTCTGTGTAAGCTTATATCCCTCACATTGGCGATAGTCTATAGAAATTCATTCTTCATCCTTCATTATTATGAAGAGAATTGTAATCTATGTCGACCCGCTTCAGCGTCTTCATCCGAGATGTAATATTTTCATTAGGAAAATTTTCCGAACATTCTGAGATACTGTGTGATTCCTCATTGAATAGTACACCTGACCTAGATCACTTTCACCTAGTACTTCCAATTGAAACGATATGCAATATAGTAAAATATGTCAAATAGACGATCTCGTACTCCGATGATAAAACATAATCTATATTCCATTGGATAGGTTGCTTTTTATGAAACCACTTTTGGTTACGTCTCTGTTTATTTTGTAATTAGTTTTCTTACTATTTGCACTTTTCATCAATTCAATACAATTTGTACAATTACCATTTTTGCCTGTAAAATTGTCGTTTCAAAAGCATAACCTTTCACCATTTGTTCCTGTTCGTCAACATACATAGCATGCATGACCCATTAATTATCTGACACAAATTTCCTGCTGCACACGTCAACTGTTGTAGTTTCTCAACAGACCAATCTATTCATTCTTCTCAAATCACATATTTTGACCTTGTCACTTATTGGCTTATTAACTCTGACTGTTTTTTAATGATCGTATGTGTGTGTGTGTGTGTAAGTGTGCTGATCGCTTATCCTATTCATCATATGTTGTTACTTATTTTAGGTGTGACATAAAAATTGAGGAACGCTTGATTAGGTTGAGTTGGCACACTTGACTTCTCCGATCAGTTTGGTTTCGTTCTATTCTCTTGACCTCCTTCACTGTGATTATCTGATGCTGTCTTCCAATCATCAGTAATAAGAATAGGAGGTGTATTGACATTTAGCCATTAATCATTGCAGCTTGTAACACTGTGGTAGTTAAATCTCGTTCCAGCATATCCACCTGATATTTGAAACAAGGACTCGCTGCTTGAATCTGTAGCACACGCCACACTGTGACTGTATTCAGTCTAACCCGTTGTTGTGTACAACATAAAGGAACACAATTAAAATTGGGTACCGTCAAATTTACGAGTTTCGTAGATGCACACACAAACGATAACTGCTTTGTAGATAGGTTTTCCATACTTTGCTAGTCTCTTGTTCTTCCTTTCTTGAATTTTGTCCAGGGTTCACAGAGAGATCCATTCCTTGTGATGATGCTTCTTAGGACCAAGAACCTCCTGACACGTTGAAGTTAGTGCTTCTTTGATCCCTTTCCAGTTGTCCTCCAAAGTAGTTTCTTGTTCTTTCAGTAGATCCTGTAGAGCTTGGAACTCGTTGTTGAGAGTTATCTTGAATTCATGGAGCTTGTCAGCATCTCGAAGGAAGGCTGTATTAAACCTTTGTAGTGCTGTTTGTCCAGTTGTCCAGTCTTTCTTAAGCTTCAGTCTCATCTTGGCCACAACCAGGTGGTGATCTGAAGCTATGTCAGCTCCTCTCCGGGTTCTCACATCTTCCATTGATCTTCGGAATTTGTTGTTGATACAGATGTGATCTATCTGGTTCTCTGTGGTGTGGTCCGGTGAGATCCATGTAGCTTTGTGTATGCGTTTGTGTGGGAATATTGTGCCGCCTATAACCAATTTGTTGAAAGCACATAGGTTTGCAAGTCTCTCCCCATTTTCATTTCTTTCTCCTAGTCCATATCGTCCGATTATATCTTCATATCTTGTGTTGTCCACTGCAACTTTAGCATTTAGATCTGCCATCAGGATTGTGAGGTCCTTTCGTGAGCACTTCTCTATAATTTATTGCAGCCTTTCATAGAACTGATCTTTATCATCGTCGTTGCTATCATTGGTGGGTGCATAACATTGGATAACGTTCATTGTGATCCCTTGCTTCTTTGTTCTGAATGATGCTTTGATTATCCTGGGTCCATGAGATTCCCATCCCACAAGTGCATTTCGTGCTTCTCTTGACAGCATTAGAGCAACTCCCTGAGTGTGTGGAGCGTTTTCCCCTTCGTGACCGGAGTACATCAGTATCTCTCCTGTACCTAGCCTTTGTTGTCCAGTTTGTGTCCAATGGGTTTCGCTGATTCCGAGTACTGCCAAGTTGTATCTGCTCATTTCCATTGCTATTTGGCTGGTCTTTCCTGTCTCCCACATTGTCCGGACGTTCCATGTACCTATAAAGAGTGTTGCTCTGGTTGTTAGAAGGTGCATCGGTCTCGTGACTTCCGAAGAATTTCGGCTTTCATCATGAGACGTCATAATTATTCGTTCAACTTGGAGGGCAGAGTTTAAATGGTTTGAATTATTATTTTTTCTGGTTAGCGTTTTTTTAGCGAGTTAGCTTTTCTACGGGATGGGGTCGCTAACCCCATACCCAACCCTCCTCCTTTGTGTGGGCTTGAGACCGGCAGTAACTCTAGAAGAGCTACAGGCGGAGTTAAGTCAGAACTAGGTGAGCACAAATGAACGTATTACATTCGCAATTCGTGATCAGAGCGCAATCACGTACGAAGGAATCATCAGTTAGTACAATTACCACAGCTACACAACCGAGCAACTCGTACACTTCACTGAACTTACACAGTGGTCAGACTTTAACTAGTACGCTCTAAGCTGCCCACATTCACTATCTACCGATTAACACAATGAAAACACAAATGTGCATTATTTTAAGATTATATTATACAATGTAAAATCAAATTTGTACACAATCAAAATCACATTCTTCTTCATTGTTCCATTCTAGTATTCTCCTTCTTTGAATACCTTCATCCTATACCAATCAAAGGAGAATTGATAGAAAATATAAATAAGAATTATTATCAAATCACATTGAAATGATTAGTTAGATTAAACAAATTATTATCATAAATAATACAATTATTATTATTATTATTAACATCATCATTCACAACATCAACATCATCCACATTATCATGATAATAATCATCAGTCTCATATACATCATCAACATCATCATCATAGACATGATCTTCATCATCCACCTCATCATCTTCATTATCGTCATCGTTACAATGCTCATGACATCCATAATCTACTTTATCCGCTTCATCATCATCCGCTTCATTTTCAACATCATCATCATCATAATTGTCTTCACACAACATTTATCACATCCACAATCTTCATCATCCGCAACGTCATCGTCACAAAACACATCACGTCCAAAACATTTATCATCATCTTCACCATTATCATCATCAACATCCTCACATAACACATCATGTCCATAATCTTCATCACTCTCTTCATCATCTGCAAAATAATCATCATCATTTACATCATCATCATAATCGTCACAAACCTCATCGTATCCGAAATCTTCATCATCCACTTCATCATCTTCACCATTATCATCATCAACATCCTCAAATAACTCATCATGTCCATAATCTTCATCATTCTCTTCATCATCTGCAAAATCATCATCATCATTAGCAGCAACAGCAGGAGCAGCAGCAGGAGCAGCAGCAGGAGCATCAGCATCTGCAGCAGCATCGTTATAATCATCAAATTTTAACACAAAATGTTTTAACTTCTCTATAACTGATATTATCACCAATGTGTAGAACAAATTCGTTGTGATATTCGGAATAATTTCCTCTATCATTGTGCTGTACAATGTCATCATAACCAATAGAGTAATATTGATTATGATGAACTTCATTATTGTAATATTTTCAATGAAATTAGCAGAAGACAAATAACAACCGTCTCCTGCGTATCCAACACTCAACTGATTTTTCTCACTGTTGCATGCTTATTAATACATTCAATTTACATTTGAATTTACACGATCGATACAATTGATGAATTGAATGCTAATCAATTAGCTGTATATTAATTGATCGATAGACCTTTGATTTAGTCTGTAAATATGATGGATGATAAAAATAATGCGACAAACAATCGTCAGACGTGTAATTCGAGTTAATTTGCTATGCGAGACTCCTCTTGGTGTTTCTGTGCTTTATTCCAAATCTCCACTATTCATATATTGGCAAACAATCTGACTGGTAGCACTGGTAGCACACGCAGCTATCAAATTTTTAAGTAAAGCATCATATTCCTCTTCTTTGGAAGCCAATAATGACGTTTACACTTTCAGCCTTCCCGAAAATTCCAAATCTAGTATTGACTATTCTGTTTCATTTATGTAAATTTTATAGGGAATGTTTAAACTGAAATCACCGGTAGAATACTTCCTGCTGTAATATACTACTATTAGATCATATGATTAGGGTTGTGGAATTAGTGCAGCTCGTGTTGACACCGCTTTATCTCCAACATCAATAATGCTTCGACTTTTGTTGTAGGCAGCAGTAATCAACCTGAACATCATCACAGGGGAAGATATTTTCGAATATTCTGTTTTCTGGAGATTCTTGATAGATCTCACTGACTATTTCTATCAGTTATTTTGAACACTCTGTGTAAGCTTATATCCCTCACATTGGCGATAGTCTATAGAAACTCATTCTTCATCCTTCATTATTATGAAGAGAATTGTAATCTATGTCGACCCGCTTCAGCGTCTTCATCCGAGATGTAATATTTTCATTAGGAAAATTTTCCGAACATTCTGAGATACTGTGTGATTCCTCATTGAATAGTACACCTGACCTAGATCACTTTCACCTAGTACATCCAATTGAAACGATATGCAATATGAATACAGAATAACGTTATAATTTCACAAGTAGTATTCCTTACTATAAGATTGTTTCGATAATGTAATAAGAAGACGAAGTTTATCATCAGAATTATGTGATAGTGCAATATTAGTGCAATACATTTCGAACAATCTGATCACACATAATATACTTGTTAAGAACATTTATATATATAAAATGTAGAAGGTCAACTAGACTGAGAATGGAGGGTGAGAGTAAGAGTAGACAAGGTTAATAATACAAAGACAATTCCAAACCTAATCACTCTGGATAATCAAATAATATTACCAGGGTAGGTTTAAGGTGAGAACAAACTGTTTTTGAATACATAATGGGGGGGGGTTGAATTTTCGTACAGCTAAGGCTACAATAAACCTTAGTATTACGCTCTTTTATACTTTTATACTACACATCACTTTCCAATATTCACATATCATTGTACTATAGTAGTGTACTATTTTCTGATTTCTCTAAGCATGCTTAATTTTTGACTGATCATTTGAGAGTATAAATGATTTGTTATGACTTTATAAAAGTAGGTCATTGCCAATTCGTTATTATCTTATGTCCGGCGTTTTATCACGTGAAGTATCCACCAATCGAAATAAGACTTTTCCAATCTTAACACTGTGTTAAGCAATGACGTTTAACTAGTATGAGCAGTCTAGAGTCCTTATTGTTCCCCTTGTCCGCCTAGCCCTTCCAATTTAGTCCAGAACACCAATTACACTTTCTGTTATCCTAATCATTTATTTCTAGCATACTCGGTTTATATAGTAGACAGACAGACAGACCGTATCACACCATAAAATAGAAAATAATATTTGTACAAGATCAAGCCAAATGTGGCTGTGAACGTGGGAGACAATAATTTCGGGACAGTAATTCGTATAATAATAATCCATAGATCGAAATGAAGCTTATAATAAGATGAATATAGATATACATAATCCAGTTACTCAATAAGAATATATATTGAGTAGTCGTCCATTCATAGATCCTAGGAGTTACCCGTACTCAATATCTTCACTAGGATATAACATTATTAAATGTGTATGGTGAATTTCATCTATTGATTTAAGCGGTGAATTAGAATCCTTGAACATAATTTCTAATCAGATTATAAAACAGTGTTTATAAAGAGTCCTATGTACATAACAGATGGCTTTATTTCATTAGATAATAGAAAACAGTATAGAAAAGATAAGTTTAGATCACTGACTTAGTTGAAGTACTTTGAGGTGTGTACTCAAAACTGTTGGGGCGATCCTGAAAATTCCATGCAAAAGACATGACAAGCTGAGGAAACATTAAGAAGCACTTTTATCCAATCAGCGTTTGATTAGAAGTTCTGACAGAAACATCATCAAAGTGCAAAGTCACATGTAGAGATTCTGATTGGCTGATTACCAACACTGCTACTATGTTTAGTAGCATTCTAGAACTTTCAGGAAAACCCTAGAACTTCTAAAATGCTAGAAAAGCCCTATATTTTCTATACATAAATGAACCTTTAAAGTAAAGTGCTTCTTGCATATTTTGTGCCTTTTCACTCGTGTTGAAGTCGCTGTGTAGTTCTAGCATGGGGGTTACGAGACTAGCTTTAGGATGCGTGTATAGCGTTCAATTGGCAAGACTTATCAAAAAACAAACATAACAAGCCGTAATTCATTGTTACGTTATTTTTTTTCTATTCTGTTGTTCAAATGATTCCTCGACGTGCAATGTGGTATATTGTGCCAACTTACTTTTCCTCAGGTCGTAGATCGAAAAGTCATAATCGGAACAAAAATAACTAAGACCTTCTAACGAACTTACCAGATAAGACACCATGATGATACAAACAACAATATTGACTTGTATTTATCATTGACTTAATTACGTAATAGTGATCTCAACTATGTATGGCAACTTAGACCGATGCATATATGTGCCTGATCCTACGTTGTATCTGACTGACTGATCTCAACTCTAAAATAGTGTAATCATGTCTCATTTGAATTTTATTCCCATAAAGTTGTTCTGTCTTTCTGACTGTTCATTAACTGGTCCAAGTCAAAGCACAGGATAACAATTTTTTAATTATTTCGATGTTGTTTTTTTCCGGAAAATTCTAAATTCTGTAGGAAGAAGGTAGACTATACTTCATAGCCGTGAATGAAACAATCAAAATTAAGATAGTGTGGTGTAGTCTACTTTTATCCATATAAGTAGTATATAGTGATGGTCAGACATAGAATGTAGTTTGGCAGAAGATCGATAAAGAAAGAACCGGAATGAAGCGCAATCGGTACGAAAACGAATGAACAATCAAATCAGAGAAGACGGACTGATATTTACAGAAGGAATGGTCAAGATTGAGACCATTGGTTAATAGTTTGCAAATTAACTGTTTACTGCATGGTTATCAGATGTTAGTGAGATAGTATGTAATTGTAGTGTCAAATACATTCGACTGTCCCCACTCGTGTTCTTATTCACTACAATAGTACCTCGTAAATGTTTACTCTAAATTAAAAGTGTAGTGCTAGATAGCTTGTATATTTTTTTAGGAAATAACTAAAAAATTGGCAATATTTGATTTTAGATCAGAAGGGTTTTGTGGATATTTCAGTATTTTCATAGTTGAAATCATGGGTCAATTGAAGCTAGACCACCATCGAAAACCTGGAAGCACTGGACGGCTGTTTCGTCCTATCATGGGACTCCTCAGCAGTGCGCTTCCACGATCTCGCCTCACTAGATTCGAACCCAGGACCTATCGGTCTCGAGCCAGAGCACTTAACCGACAGACCACTGAGGCGACATCCAACGATGTTAATGTCTAACTTCAACCAATCCACGATGTTTGAGCAATCATTCGCCAATTGTCTTCAGTTAGTTGATATCTCTACAACAGACGTAGTTGAGCTCCACTGGTCACTGCTTCCCACTAGAACTCCAGGAAATATCTCTTGAAGTCAGTCACTAGTGAGTATATGATTATAGATCAGAAGGGGTTTTTTGGAGATTTCAGTACAGTACATTCGTTCGTGCTTATCTAATACTTCTTGATTGCATTGCGTTATTGCTGGGATTACTAAGTTATAATACAATTCAAATACTTCCGATTATCACATTTGCGTCGCAATGGAGCCTGTGATGGAACACTTGGATAAGCGTTCAGATTTCAATGCTTTTGAAGATTACATGGAGAGGTTTGAAATCTAGGCTATAATCAAGGAAGATGATGATGATTTTAATATTGTGACTCATTTCCTTACATTCATCGGAAAAGAAGCATACAGCTTAACAAAGATTTTGTCATTTCCAGGCAAACTTCTTTCACTCTCCATTGCAACTCTCAAGCAACTACTACTGGACTATGTAAAATATACAAATTTCGAATGCAGTAAAGGAGAAAAAATTCAAAAACTGATTCCTTAGGACACCAGGAACTCCATTACTTTACTACGTGGTCGCAGTCCAATAGGTAACCAAAGTTATTCAGATAACAGCTAATTAAATTGTGAAACACAAGTTTGGTAAATTCTTGTTCTGTGGCAAGTTTCACCTATGTAATTCATGTGTATTTCGTAATTCTGAATGCTTTAAATGTGGTCAAACTGGACACATTTAGTCAGTATGTAATACCATGATTCATTTCGTTGAAACTGGTGTTAAAATTCGTGATTCTACTAACTTTTATCACACTGATATTCAGTAATATATTGCAAGGTAGGTCAAATAACTATCTTACACAACTAAAGTCACCGTCGGATGCCGGCTCAGTGATCTATCGGTTAAGGGCTCTGGCTCGAGACTGGTAGGTCATGGGTTAGAATCTAGTGAGGCGAGGTCGTGGATGCGCACTGCTGAGGAATCCCACAGTAGGATGAAATGGCCGTCCAGCGATTCCAGGTTTACCATGGTGGTATAGCTTCAATTGATTCATGATCTCACCTATTAAAATTACGATAATATCCACAAAACCCCTTCTGATATAAATGTCTATGGACATTGTTAAATAAACGTTTTCATAAAGTGTGAATGGTTTTCATTCCACAATCTTTAGTTTTTCCACTTTGTAAATCAATCAACCAGAGAAAATGAGCGTCAAAATCTCATGGCTTAAGTTATCCTACAAAACATTACGACACAGCTTGTCATCTTAGCTCATCTCATAACTTTGCTATTTCTACCTGATCATACTAAACAGCTTCCAGCTGAAGAGGAAATTAGGAAAAGACGTTAAAAGTGGATGGGACATACATTAAGGAAATCACCAAACTGCATCACGAAGCAATTCCTAACTTGGAATCCTGAAGGGAAGCGGAAAAGAGGAAAATCAAAGAACACATTAGGCCGGGAAATAAAAGCAGATATGAAAAGGATGAATAACAACTGGTAAGAACTGGAAAGGATTGCCCAGGACAGGATTGGATGGAGAATACTAGTGTGCGGCTTATGCTCCTTCACGAGGAGTAACAGGCATAGGTAAGTAAGTATACTAAACAATAAATCACTGACATTTGAATAATCAGGTCAATGGTTAACTTCTAATCTGTTGATTAACTTTTATCTGTATGCATTCCCTTTACATAAAACATACCTATCACTTATTCTTGAAGTAAGATAAACTCTTTTACAACACAGTTTATCGAAATCGTTTTCAGTCTATTTAGAAAATTGAAATAGTTGAAAGCGTGAGTCAATTGAAGCTAGACCACCATGGAAAACCTGGAAGCACTGGATGGCCGTTTTGTCCTATTGTGGGACTCCTCAGTGGTAGTGCGCATCCACGACCTTGCCTCGCGAGATTCAAACCTAGGACCTACCAGTCTCTGAAATAACCAAAAATAAGAGCAAGAATTGGGCAATTAAGGAAAGTTTAATTTACATCATTTTTTTATTTGAGTCATATTACACGCCGTTACTTTATTGTTATACAATACATTATTATCATCATCAATGCGAATGTGAATCTTCTTTGTTACCACTTTCTTTTTCCCGCGACTTATCCAATTGGTTTATAAGTTGATGCCATTTGTTTCAAACCTGTTTTACTAATAACAATAACTTTTAAACCAAATAGGAAACAACTACTTACACGACATTCATATACATATCTTTACTAATGAATTCATCTTTGTTGTCTAACACCTTACCACAGTGAAGTACCCCCAATGTTTCCAAAGCATGTTGATATCGATCTGAAGGAATTGAATTCTTTTTACATGGATCAAGCATGTTGAATATTGTCTCGGCATTATTTTCAGTAAACAATGTTGGCGGTTCTGCGAATTCATCTCGTGAAGCTTTTAATAATTTTAATTGTTCAATTAAATATTGTTTTGGATTTTCTAAAATGTTAATAAATTATTGATTAGAAGTAACTTTACATTATGAGATCATATGTAAAGATTAATATTTTTATTGTTGAAGTCGAGTCAATTGAAGTTAGACCACCATGGAAAACCTAGAAGCACTGGACGGCCGTTTCGTTCTATTATGGGATTGAAGACAATTGGTGGACGGTTGCTCAACTTCTTGGATCAGTTGAAGTTAGACATTAACACCGTTGAATGCCGGCTCAGTGATCTATCGGTTAAGTGCTCCGGCGCGAAGCAGGTAGATCCAAGGTTCGAATCTCGCGGGTGTGGGATCGTGGATGTGCACTGCTGAGGAGTTCCATAATAAGACGAAACGGCCGTCCAGTGCCTCCAGGTTTTCCATGGTGGTCTAGCTTCAGTTGACTCATGATTTCGACTATGAAAATATTGAAATATCCACAAAATCCCCTTCTGATCTATAAAGATTAATACAAAAGAGTTTTATGTGGTTAAAGACATGAGTCAATTGAAATTAGACTACCAAGAAAAACCTGGAAGTACTGGATGGCCGTTTCATCCTATTGTGAGACTCCTCAGTAATGCGCATCCATGACATTTTAAATGGCTAAACACAATTTTAAGTTAGAAGCAAGCAAAGTTGAGAATGAACTCAATCTATACACATAAACACACACATAATGATGTTCAACAAAGAATCATCTTGATGATTATGAAGCGAAATTGATATAATCAAACCTATTTTGATTTTGAAAAGGTTGAATTACAACTGGAAAGAACTGGAAAGGAAAGCTCAGGACAAAAGTGGATGGAGAATGTTGGTGAGCGGCTTATGCTCTTCGACGAGGGGTAACAGGCGTAAGTAAGTGAGTAAGTATTTTGATTTTGATTGAACTACATATTCTATGCTGTTACTCTATACTGTTCAAAATTGTATTAATTTAATTCGGTTATTTATTTATTTTGAAGAAGTGACCTGAACTAAGTTGAAGACCGTTAGAAATCTTACTTTCTTTTCATTGGAGTATGAAAGACATATCATTATTCTACTATGTTTTATGACGTAAGAGTAGGTTGGAAGAAAACTAGGGGCGGTCAAACCAAAATATGGCACAAATCCATGAAGTCACAGACAATTGGACTGAACTATGTTGGTTGGTGTAGACTTCCTGGTTGGGATCCGCGAGATGATAGCAATCGATGGTTAGAGACCTTGAATGACATGGCTCAAATTGTTTGCAATGACGAAGGTGCATCCACTCTTTGTGTTCTGACAAGCTCTAATCTTTTGAATTCTTCATATCCCTTTCTTTTTTTCTCTTTCCAAACTTGTTTCACTGGATTATACTCCTACTTGGAACCTGCTGCCCGAAGCAGTGGTGTCTGCACCTTCAATTGACTCATTCTAGAGAAGACTGGACACTCACAGAAGCATACTAGAAAAGAAACAACATAGGCCGTAGGCCTTCTGTCTTTACTAAACAAATCTGAACCTGAAATCAGATAAACACCAATTTAACACTGAGTTGTTACAAAGAGAAGAAATAATTACTTCCTATTGACAGGAGGCTGCGAATTCAAGTGTGAGAAGCAATATTAACAAATGACGACCACATGTGTCAGGTTCTGTGGTAAACCTGACTGATATATATATATATATATATATATATATATATTAAAATGGATATTTTAGGAATAAAATGGGTTGTATATATACCTACCTGGCATTTGATAGAACAAAGAAGACGTCAAGTTCTGGAGCATTTCATCAATCTTATGCTCTTTAATGTAGCGTTCGACCTCCAATTTTCTAGGACAATCTTGGCAAGTCATAGATTGCATTGGATAAATCACTTAGGTGAATTAAATGTTGTAAGAAGTCGCGTTCTGTGTGGTTGGTAGCCACTCTGTCTTCTGCGTTGCGTTAGGTCTGTAGTAAATTCGCGTCACACCTGAAAGTCGTTAGGGCGAATTAAGAGTGAAAGATAGCATGACAAGTGTAACATTTACCCGACAAATTCTAGAAGTGGGATTAGAATGACAAAAATAAACAAAACAAAAAGGCTGAAATTAAGAGTATCTAATAATTGTAACTGTGATGCAATAGAGCAAAATTACATTTTTGTAACGTTCATGGCTTGATAAGATTGGGTCTAGCCCCAAGGAATATTGCGTTGTGGGGTGTCAAAAGTCATGTTTATTTAAAATGACCTACTAATTAGTAGGCAAACACTGCACTTACATTATTAGGTACAGCAACTGTCAAAAATTCTAATATGTTATGATATAGTCTAAAAGTTTAGGCGTGCTATTGTATACCAGATGACTTCTGTGGACTTGCTTCCCACTGTTTTCGTGTGATTTCAAAAACAGAAGCGGAAGATAAAGAAAAAACGATATTCAATACAAGAAATTTGTATGATTAGGTTTCGTATTCGGTAACCTGAACAATCAAATCACCACTTGTAATTTCCTACGACGTTTCTAATGGAAACAACCTCAATTCAATGTTCAGTATCCAATATCCGAAATTTTTGCCACAAACTTGCATAAACTAATTAATATTTTTGCGCTCCCTTTTTGTTGTTTCAGCACGATTTCAAGCATTTTGTACTGTTCAGTAAATGGTATTTCAGTTATTCGAGTACACTAATTATGGTCAGTCAGCTTGTGTTTCTGTATTCTAGATTAATGCTTATCGAAGAAAGACAGGTCACACTTCGCTTTTTTTTTTGAGCTGCCAACTCAGAGCATGTGGACATGTCGTGAAGAACGCTTAAAACGTCTTGTGATATATTTGCTTTGGTGTCAGGAGTAATCGGACGCACGGGGGCTCAGTTTCATGGAATCGACATTGAAAATGCAAAAGCATATAACCAAAATTACATGCAAAAACGGGGTAAGGAAGCCAAAATAAAGTGATGACGACCGTAAAACATGGATATTGATGACCAGGACAATAGAGAGACACACGGGAATATGTTGAAGCTTGTAAGGCATATCAAATTACTGAGAGCCCTATAGATGAATCTTATGCACGCTTAGTAATTAAGAAAGCAGATCAATGGGACGAGATTGTGGAGATTGATATTATTGGACCAACCTATGAAATAAGTATATTTTAGATAGGGTTAATCACTTTATCAATCGATAAGGAGTTATTCCTCCCAACATTGCGGACGCTCAAACTGTTTCTGAAACGGCATTCGACATATGGGTTGGTATGAAATGGTTCACTTTGATGATGGAGCCCGATTTCCGTGTTTGTTTTCTGAACATGCATCGTTTTAAGGAACCATTTCTTTCTCATCAAACGCACATAGAGAAAAGGAAATTACTGTTCTCGCTTACTTTCTAACGTGAAGTCTATGGAAGGGCGGCATATGTTGAACGATTGTAAGATATCTTCTAATTCATTATTATCATCTTAAATGACAAATATACCTGTAGAATGGCCAGCTGACCAACTTGTACAGCTACGTTTTTTAGCAGGAAGAGAAATCTTATTCACTCTGTATGTTATCAAATAGTCGGATATATAGTACAGAATGCATTGACGAAGATCTCTCATACCTCGAGAAAACTCTGACAAAAAATGGCTATCCAGTCCGCTTCATATACATAGAGAAGTTCTCGTGACAAGGAATCCGGTTGTTTCGTTCCAAAGAAAAACCTATGTATAAGTTTGGAATTTAATGGCGAGCGAACATCTGGTGTAATCAGAAATTGTCTTCGGGAAGCAATAAGGAGAACATTCTGTAGGGCAGAACTTCAAATAAGGTTCACCAGTAGAAACTTGCTTTCTGTATACATAGAAGATATGCTTCCCCATCTGGTCGTCTCCATGTCCATCTACCGGTTCACCTTCTCTTGTAGAGCAAGGTACATTGGTTGTGGCCAGCGCTCGCTTTCAACTCGTATACAGGAACATGCCCCAATGTGGTTCTTCAAAGGTGAGAGTAAAACAGTTAGAAGTTCCATAGCTCCATATCTAGATGACTGCAATCAATCTACTGATTCACAGTCTGATTTCGAGGTTTTATATACGAGTCGTTTAAATCTACTTAGGTTTATTAGTACTCAACTTCTAAAAATAGCCGAAGCTCTTGCCATTCATGAGGTCACGCCAACACTATACGTACAAACGAAGTACGTCCTATTGTTATCGTTACCTTGACTCTAATTTATTATTATTATTACATTTCTCGCTTTATTTACGCATCATATTTTCATTGTTTTATTTATAATTTCTCATGATGTGGCTTACTTTATTTCGCACCTCAATTACCTTTAATTACCTACATTTATTGAAACAAAAAGTTTTAATAACCTTATTACATTCATGTCGTAATTCGCTAATATATTATTAAGTCTATTATTATCATTCGTATTACGGAGTCTAGTATTATAATTTTTCTGTCACATCGCCCTGGTTATTCCTTGTTCACATTTCCCCACGGAACTAGTACCTCAATAAAACAACATGTATATCAATGATTGCACAGTCTGATAATATATTCGTTCAAAAGCGATCACTTCTTTTTACTGTTTAGGTAAGAATTATCTGTCATTTGTGTACTTGGTTTGTATGAAGCCCTATTGCTCAGCAGTACACGAGTGAGTCTGACCAGCTCTCTGAGGACAAGTACCGGAATTGTGGATATTGGAGAATCATTCAACAATATTTGAGTTGACTTTCACAAATTAGGACCCATCATTTGATACTGATGATACTGATAAACTAAACGAATTCGATGTAGCTCTCAACGACAGGCTACAAGCATCACAAGATCAACTCAAAGAAGAGGAAACTATCATGAATGACAATTGGAAAGGCTCAGAGAAACATTAACTTCAACGTGTCACGAAGTGCTGGACCACAAGAAGCATAATCATCATAAGAAATGGATCTCTATCGAAACCGTGGACAAGATTCAAGAAAGTAAGGAAAAGATTACAGCAATAACAACAGGAGAACAAGAATAGTAAAGGTCAAGACACAAGCCGAATAC